GAGATTGTGTTCTATAAGCTTATGCATACTTACTTGGGAGCAAGTCCTACTGAGCGCATTGGAATTTACCGAATAGTAGAATGATGCTCAGAAGATAGGTCTCTAAGTGGGGTGTGTGTATTAAAAAACAAACAAACAAAAAAACCTCCACCGACATGAACAGACGGTTCCCCCTCCTCGTGATGGGAAGTCATAACCCACAACCTTTCAGTTCAATGGGACAAGAAGACATCCATCCCAGAGTGCATCGCGCGCTGTTCTCGTTCTTCCTCGCAAGGCAGACTGCCAGAGGGATAAAACCACGTTGAGTTTTGGGCAGCAAAACCCAACAAGCAATCTTGTGGCTCCCCAAACTCTCAGATTTGTTGTGGTATCAAAAGGCCTGTTCGTCAGCAGGCAGGCACTGTTCCTCGACGGTCCGCTTCAAAGCAGCCGAAGTCTCACTCGTGTCGGTTTCAGCTCTCCAAAGCGGGGGAGGGAAAGTTACTGGGTCCGTTTCGACGCAAGGCGTGGAAAGCAGACCGTGGAAAGCAGACCGTGGAAAGCACAAGCTCCCCGACCCTACGACTGAGGTTTGACCTGCTAGGGTAAAGGATTTCTCACTGACAAGCTCCTCCACAGTAACTGGCTTGCGGTAGATCGGATACCCGATTTCAACGCAGGGAGAATCTTGCGTTTATTTCCACCCAGTGCGCTTAAGATCTGGGGCGCTATCCTCTCTTCTGCCCTGATTTGATGGTAATTTTAATTGGCTTTCCATGTTATTGTTTTTGGACATCTGGGCTGTATTTTGGGCATAGCCGTATCTGTGCTGTATGTTTGGCATAGTTCTCTGGGCTTCGGCAGGCGGGCCAGATAAGTAAACCATAAATAAATAAAACAAATACTCCCAATATTAGACACCCTCACCCTCAGACGGTGAAGGAACTGTTTCTTTTTGATGTCTTCAGGTCAAGATATACTACATGTAATTGGAAGCGGCGTGATCCGAAGCATGTGCCCTTAGAAATCAGAGCTGGAGAGTCCTTCGCTTCCAGAGGCGCCTCTGTCGTGGAACTGAAAGGGGCACTTACTGCGGGACAGAGGTTTGCAACGGATTTCACGCAGCCCAAATTTAGTTTATTAGCCCCAGGGAGTGAGACGGGGTGGGGGCTTGAGGGCTCTTTCAGCTTCCGATCTCCAAGCCCATTTCCTTGGGAAGAAGGCCCAGTCATTTCAGCCGGACACTTCGGGATCAGGCTCCTGGGAAGGCGCCCATAGTCATAGTTCACAGCTGTAGCGTTATTGGTTTCGGATGTGGATCTTTGTCATTCGAGGTTTTATCATGATGATGATAATTTTAGAAAACAAATCGGGAAGGATGCGTTCGTTGTATGAATAGAGGAGTCACAAAACAAGCAGCTTCGTCTTACAGAGCTACAATTCCCAGTAGCCTTAAAAACTACAGTTCCCGAGATTCTTTGGGAGGAGGTCGTGCTTTAAATGTGCTTTGAATGTATTGGGTGGGCCTATATCACTTTGCATAATCCCTAAACCTTATTATTTGTAAGTTCTCCGGGTTTGAGATGCTAAAGGAAATTCCCACTATAATGGTGAGTCTTGAAAACTCACGTCTCCTAAGTTACAAACTGCACCTATCGATTGAAATTGACCGCCACATAGATTCATCAATGAATGAATCCCAACCATTTAACCGAACAAAGTTTATACCGCTGCCTAGATTTGCTTTCACAGATCAACACAGAGGAGAACCTGTTTTGGTATCTCTATCCTCTTTAAAATGGACTCAGCCGGATCCTGTTCAAGAGACCGACTTGTTCGTTAATATTCACACGCGGTACAAATAACGTGTGTGTGTGTGTGAGAGAGAGAGAGAGAGAGAGAGAGAGAGGAGGAGGAGGAGGAGGGAGGGAGGGAGGAAGGAAGCCTTAGAAACACGAATACGCAGCTATTGGACGAAGCCGTCCACTCTGACCCACCTGGGGCCAAATCGGAGCCCAGCCAGGCCCATAAAACAGCGCCCTGAATGACGAGAGATTGGATTTGGGATCAGCAATCCTGATTTGCAGAGAATACTAAGAACTTAACCGGAACGGCAGTTCAGCCACCTCCAGCATTGTAGCCTCTGGGAAGGTGTTAGGGTACTTGGAATCTGAATCTTTGTACTAAGGCTAGTTTTGCAGGTCAAAGAAAACAACGCCTTTCGCCACGAGTGGAATGCATTTAAAAAGGATTGTTGTGTGCGTGTCTACACTGTATCCTGCCACTACTGAGGTCAGTGGCAACTTTCTCACACGATTTCCAGCCCTTCACCACCCAGAGATGGAGTGAACTAATAGATTTTATAACCAGAAAATAGCCAAGCGTCCAGAACTGTATTGGATTGGGAAATAAATTGAAATGGAAGGTAACGGACAACCCCATTTGTATCACTTTCACATGAATGAGCAGCTGCTTTTAGCACTACTTAAAATGTGTTCTGGGTGACAAGTCTGTGATTATTATTTATTAGATTTCTATACTGCCCTTCATCTGAGGATCACAAGGTGGTTTAAATATAAAAACACAAAAATGCATAACAAAGTAACAAATAAAACACTTTGTTTATATGCAAGGATATTGATAGCTCATCTCACCTACCAGTAGCAGAGTCTGGGCAAAACTTGAAGCCAGCATCTGCCTCTCCCTACCCCACAGTGCATATGCCGAAAATCCCAGTCTGGGATGTTTCTGCAACAGATATTGGGCTTCTTGTACAATTCTGGCAGCAAGATATTTCCATTCAGTTGTTTTCTCTGATGTAAGTCATACCAAGTTCTTGTACTTTAACATCTCAGCATTATTTCATTAGGAGTTAAAACATTTTTTTAAATAAAAAAAATCCTTTTCCAGTCTGCTAAATAGGGAATGATGAAGGCAAAAGGAGGCAAAGACTAGTGAGCATAGTGAAAAGGGAAATAATTCTTGGCTGTGATTTGCTTTCTGTGGTTGACAATTTGTATAGGTTTCTTTAGAATTTTGCTTATGAGGACTAGAAACCTGCTCTGCCACAAACACGGTCTGAAGTCCAGGGATTCAAAGTTCCACAACACAGGGCGCTAGCATGGCTACACAAATGCCTGTGCATCATGCAATCACCCCCATATGGGAAGTGCTTGCCTGCCACTGTTATCCCCCTTCCCACAGCTGTCATTTTGTTTGGATTGCACTGGGAATCAAGGCCATTGCCATAAATAGGCTGCAGAGGAGCAAACATGTCAAACTGTAATCACTCATGAAACAGGCACACAATATGCAATTAACAACCTATTGGAAGTAACTTCACCTGGAGTCAAAGACACTGACTTTCAATGTCCCAGCCTACATGAAGCTCAGTTTTCATACTTAGAAGCATAATAAGGCTTACAGCCAAAATGGGGTTCGGCTCAAGGTATGGCAATAATGCATTGCAATCTTAAACATGGTCTAAAGGTAAAGGGACCCCTGACTGTTAGGTCCAGTTGTGGACGACTCTGGGGTTGCGGCGCTCATCTCACTTTACTGGCCGAGGGAGCCGGCATACAGCTTCCGGGTCATTTGGCCAGCATGACTAAGCCACTTTCTGGCGAACCAGAGCAGCGCACGGAAACACCATTTGCCTTCCCACCGGAGCAGTACCTATTTATCTATTTGCACTTTGACGTGCTTTTGAACTACCAGGTTGGCAGGAGCAGGGACTGAGCAACGGGAGCTCACTCTGTTGCAGGGATTCAAACTGCCAACCTTCTGATCAGCAAGCCCTAGGCTCTGTGGTTTAACCCACAGTGCCACCCACGTCCCTAAAATGGTCTACTCAGCAGTAAATCGCATTGAATTCAGTGGGCCTTACTCTCAGTTTAGTGTGTCTAGGATTGCAGCTTCACTGAAGCTCTCTTCAGGCATTACTCATGTGAGAAGCATGTTGAATGGGGTTAAACATGCACTGTCTTTCCCCATGCCTTCCCCTTTCAAGCAAGTAATGTCTGAAAGAGGGCTACTGGTATCCACCATTTTAATTTAGTAGCTTCTTCATGGGCACTTCTGTTGATGGACGTCTATCAGAATTATATTCCACACTTTTCCCAAGGACTTCAAAACAGTATATATAGCTCCCTCTCTTCTTTTAACTCCATCCCCGGAAGGTAGGTTAGGTTGAGCAAGTGGACTGTGGCCATCCTGTATGCTTTGTTGTCAAGGCTCCCCATTCTAAGGTCACATCCACATCTCATACAACTTAAATAGTTGTGGCTTCCCCCAAAGAATCTTGGGAACTATAGTTTGTTAAGTGTGCTGAGAGTCATTGGAGACCCTTAACAAACTACAGATTCCAGGCTTTTGGAGGAGAAGCCATAACTGTTAAAGTGGTAAAGGACTGCTTTAAACATATGGTGTGGATGTGACAAGTCACACACCACGAATGGGAAACTTTTCAGAGTAGAAATGGCATTCTTCCTGAACAGAATTCCACTGCTGAGATTTTAACCTGGACAGCTCAATTCTGAAATGTCTTAAAATGAGAATACTTGGACATCAGTGAATTTACAGCTAGCAACTTTGCACAACTGATTTTCACTGCACTTTCTTTCCAAGTGAGTGTGCTTAGGGTTTTGGACTGCATCTTTTTAAATCCAAGTGTTGGGCAGGTAAGTCTGAAAGCTGAAACCATCTGTTTAGCAGCATTTTCATTTTAAAAAATGAATTATGACATGAGACATTAAAATACAGATTGTAATTCAATACCCAAATCTTTGTGTGCAGTAAATAGCTGGCAAGACGAATGTGCAATTTTCTATTTATCGCAAACCGAGCCATAAAATATATTAGAGGTCCATACTGCTTTGGTTTTCCCTACCGTGGTCTTAGACAAAGAGAAACATTTCCAAACCATATTAACTTGAAGACATTAATGAAAACAGACAACATGATAGGAACTTAACTGTGTCAGGGAATGTATAATATATTCTAAACACAGCCACAACATATTAATACATCTTTCTTATTTTTATTGACTGAAGCCTTGATTTTTGTCTTAGCTTTTCTATTTCAACAGTATTTCTGAGTGGGTCAAGGCTCCAGTGGGATATAATGACACCAAAGTAAATAGAAGAGTTTAAAACCAAAGAATTGTTTCTCCAGATTCTGTCAGCAATTTGTACCACGCTAACCGAAACATTGCTTCAGTAAGAAAAGCATACATGCATTGAAGTAATGCAAACAACATTAGTATCAGTGGCATGGAAGGGACGGACTCATCATGAGGCTACAAAAGGGTAGATTTTGACCGATACTGAAGTAATAGGCTAGGACAAAATTGTTGTGTGATGTTAAAAGTTATACTTTAATTCTGGAAAATAGGGTAGCAGACCTGAAAAGTAAGAAGACTGCCAATGTACCACAAAATAATAAACATAATTTGGAATTATGAAACAGATCTTAATATCACATTACTGAATTTTAATGTGCTGTGAATGTGCATTCAGTCACCCCACTGGGGTGTGCAACTGCTGGGGAGAAATTGATGCATTTTTTACACAAAACATATTTACATCATTAATATGTTTGGAATAAGATGGACATTCCACATTTTACTTTTTAACAGATACATATTCCAATCTACAAAGCAGAGAAGCAAAATACCTAGATTTGGGCCAATTTGATTTTGATTTGTTTTGCTTGATTGAGAGGTACAGGAAATGAGTTTAAAAACATGTACTTAAATCCAACTGTGGATCAGGCTATCTCGGTCACATACCACTGCACAATCACAAAACATTATTGTACGTATACATCCATTTGTTCACCGGATCATACCAGCCATTTTATAATAATTCCATACATGCTTTTAAACCATACTGCAAAAATAAATTTCAGATACAAATATTGTAATTTCTCTGATATTTATAAAAGAACTTAGCCAAAGAAGAAGAAAAGGTGGGAAATCATGCAGCGTAAAATAAAATACAGCATACATGGAGCTGAGGAACTTTCCATCTGCAGAATCCAAAAAGAATGGCAATGCACAGGCTCACCATATGTTTTAAATGCTGAAGGTCCAATGACTATTTCAAAGCTTTTGCCTTCTTTTTGCCACTTCCCCATCCACCGCTGAGCTGAACTGGATGGTCTCGAAATGAGATCCGCTCTTTGTGCGAGGGCCCCAAAGGTGATCTTTCAGGCACAGGTGCATCCTTTTCTACACAAGAAGAAATTGGTATGAAAATGCTGTTGCTCAAGTCATCTTTAAAATAACAACAACAACAACAACAACAACAACAACAACAGCAACAACAACAGCAGCAGCAGCAGCAACAACAACAACAGCAACAACAAAATAGCAGCCTCTCATCATGCCTAATTTTGTTACTTAGTTCCTAATTCGAAAAGTTTTAGCAGAAAATCTAAGCTACTTTAAAGCCATTAACTGATTAAAAACTTTGATCTCAATGGCAATTTGTGGATATTTAATATGTGTGTGCTCTCTCACACATGTGTTTCTTCTGAATAATTGCAGATAAAACATTCATTGGCCGGGAAATCACACTAACCACATTGGCGGAAATAAGAGATGTGCAGAGTGACAACAATGTGATCAGCACTGAATACTATTTCACAAGGGAATGCCTCTGATTAAGCATATACATTTTAAACACATAGTTAACACATTCACAAATTGCATTGATAATTCATTCACATTTACATGCTATTTCGCAACTGAGATTTGTAAAAAGCATGGGCAGGAACAGTATTTTAGGAATATTAGAATTAAATTGAAAAAATCCAGACATATAATTTACATATTCATTGTTTCCTTTTTGTGTCCAATTATTTCTTCGTCATTTGCACATACCGTATTTCATGAACACATAAGTGGCACAGAGATATCATTTTTATGGATTCTGGCATTTTTTAACCACATGAAGAAAATTCCAGATGATTTATAGGGCCAACGGGTTACTATTTCAATTTCTCAGCCCAACATACGCTCGCCAGACTTCCACCAAGGGAAAGACAGAGGAAGTCACCATTTACTCCACTGAATAAGAAATGGAGAAAGCTGACCTAAATATTGAATTTTTATTCAAATCTTAAGTCTTCAATGGTAACTATGTAGCTGTCAATAACACCTTCAGAAATTTCTGAGTACTACATAGGGCTCCAATCAGCCTCAAACAGGAGCCATATAGCACTCTCTGGGGCTTGTCAGATGTAGTTTTATCACTTCCCTCCACTATACAATATAGTGATCATGGTAATGGGTTCAGGATGAGGGCTGGCTGCCCATCCTGAATCTGAGTGCTTCATTGCTCTATAACTGCTACTGTCAGTGGTTGAATACAGCACTGCATGTGTGTGTGTGTCGCTTGCCACAAAATGTTCCTGGCCTCCAGGGTAACCTTAGCTTAATTTGACTAATTCCTCCATACCTTCATCATTCCACAGTCCATCTGCCCACAACCACACTGTGATAATGTGCATTCTGTGCTGGATGCAGGTACATTTTTGGGGTGCTGCACACTCATATCGTTCCTGTCTTGCACCATTCATATATATAAGGCTCATCCTGCTGGAACGGTTATAATCCATTTTGTACCGAGAATGAACTTCTCAAGTGCTTTCTGTCTCCCTGTGTACACAGAGAGCGCTTTTTCATGTCATCTTCTATTGGGGTGGACTTTCTGACATTGCAAGGCCTGTGCCAATTCACCAGTCTAGCTACATGCACTAGGAAAAGCAGGGAACAGACCATGGGTATAACCTCAGATTTGTATTGATTTAGATTGATGGGGCAGGGCAGCTGCCCCCTTGCCCTCCCTTGGCTACACCCATGGAACAGACTGTATATTGATAAATCAGTACATCAGTTTCTGTAGTCTCTTTTTAGGGACAGCTAGCATTTTGAATGACCAAAAATAATTTCAAAAAAGTACTATGGAACAACATGTGCTCAGCTGCAGTGTGGCATTACATCATTTCTGCCCACAGCCAGGAGGCACGGGAACACAAATTTAGGGGAGTGGATAACACCAATGTGTTGGTGTACATGTACTAGTTGGTATACATACCCACCTATGTGTACAGACAACATGGATAGTGGTGGCTGCTTTGCCTAGTGAAGAGGTGTACAATTAAAAAGCACTATCTACAAAAGTGCTTCACACTGTGAACATAGCCTAATTGTGCATTTCACACAGCATCCCCAGTTTCTGGTTCATGCAGACATTCAGCACTTCCCAAAATGGAAATGAGAGTGCACATTGAAAACAATGCAGAAATGAGTCATTATAGTTGTGATTAAGCTGTACTGCGCCCTGCCCCCCAAAGCAAAAGACAGGAATTTCTGTCTTTCATTTTAAATGTGAGCCCAAAATTCCCTCTCCAGGCAATTAGAAGTCTTGCTCATATTTTTCTCATCACTATTCTTTCGACATTCTACAGGTCATGGAAGCTCACAGGCCCCCCCCTTTTTATACAAAAACCTTTCACATAAACTTTTGCATACCTAATTAACAAGTATGTGAAAACCAGAATCATGGGTTGTATCCAAGTAAGTCCAACTCAGAGTAGAGCCATTAAAATTAATGTCTGGTCATGCCCATCATTCTTAGTGAGTCGATGGTGGATATAGCCACTTGCTTTGAGGTGGTCTCATTTTGCTTTCAAACAGACACTTGCCTACTTAGGTTCACTATTAGAAGGAATGTGTAATTTTAATGTAATTCCACATATTAAATTAGGAAAATATGCATCTTTCCATTTGAGTACACACCAGCTGGTGCCAACTTCAGTTCCTTGAGATGCATAAGTCTTTTGCAAGTATATTTCACAGTATGCGTTTTGTTTATACATTTGCAGTGTATACAACACGGCTACTAAAAGTGGATATGGCCTCTAGATGGATGTGTTTATAGTCAAAATCATCCAAAGCCTCTGATATGGCTTCGTCTGATAAATGAAGGTAATTCAATGACTTTAAAAATATTAAGAAGAGCTGGTTGGATCAGTCCAGTGGTTTTTTGAATGATGGTCAGGGGTGCCATGGGCAACACTGATCTCTGTCCCTCTTCCCTTCCCTCCCTCCTCTGATGCCCTCTCATGTCTCTGCCTCCCAAAGCCTTGAATGGATGTTTGTCATAGCAGCCCTGGCTACAAGTTTCCCAGGTGAATGGTGCCTCTGGGGCTGGCCAGGGGGTGCTTCCCAGGCCCCTGTGGGGCAGTGTGAGAAGGCACCTCTCTTTGGGGTGGGCATCTCAAAGACCGGGGGGGGGGGAGCAGCTGTGGTTGCCCAGAGGACTCCCAAGAAGAGGGGAGAGGAGAGGAGGCTGAGGGAACACGTCACAAGAGAGGGTGTTTGAAAAAGGGTGAGAGGCTGCCAGCTCTGCGAGCAAAGGGTGACATAACTGGGCTTCTGGGCCCCACAGGGGTGCTGCAGAAAGAATGTAGTGGGTCAAGGGGGCCGTGGACTCAAAAATGTTGAAAACCTCTGGATCAGTCCATTGATCTATCTAGTCCAACACCCAGTGGCCAAACAGCTGCCTCTGGGAAGCTCCCCCCAAAAGACCTAAGCAAAACAGCAATCTACTCATTTGCAATTCCCAGCAGTTGCCATTGTAATACTTTAGCCCCAATCCAGTTAAGTGTAATCATGACCAAGTCCTGTTGATATGGACAAGCCATAAATTTAATTCCATCACTTTCAATGGCGCAATGAGATGTGACACAATAAATCTGTTATCAGGAACATTTCCCCATAAGTTAAAAGGGGTGGGTGGGAGAGAGATGCAATAGAGATGAGATGTGGAAATAAGGGTGAGAGCAGGGAGGCAGTTAACTCTCTCTCTCCCCCCCCCACTTGGTTTTTCTAATTCATTCCTGCCCTAAGCTGTGAATTATCCCATGAAAGAAAACATAGCCACAAAGCAAACAGCAACCTTGGGGTGTGAGATTCAAACTGTTGTGAGAAAAGGGTTTAAAAGTTGCACTCCCAGCACCAGGCTCTGGGTTGATTCATACCTCTGTGGCTGCATTTAATGCTTAAGAAAATGCCTTCACAGTAAAATGCTGATCACATATCGTGTCTAGTTTGAGCCTTAGTCACCATTAACTTTAACTGTGTCCCAGTCTTTGCTTCAATCCTCTGGCGCTTAGAAGTAGGTAAACTAGATTTGTGTGTGTAAACCATGGGTAGGCAAACTAAGGCCTGGGGGCCAGATTCAGCCCAGTCGCCTTCTAAATCCGGTCCGTGGACAGTCCTGGGAATCAGTGTGTTTTTACATGAGTAGAATGTGTCCTTTTATTTAAAATGCATCTCTGGGTTATTTGTGGGGCCTGCCTGGTGTTTTTACATGAGTAGAATGTGTGCTTTTATTTAAAATGCATCTCTGGGATATTTGTGGGGCATAGGAATTTGTTCATCCCCCCCCCAATCTAGTCTGGTCCCCCTCAAGGTCTGAGGGGCAGTGGACCAGCCCCCTGCTGAAAATGTTTGCTGACCCCTGGTGTAAACTCTATAACACTGCTTCTTTAACAGCTTTCACCAGAACTTATACCAATTACAAGAAGTTGCACTTAAGATTAGAACAGCAGTATTAAGGAAAAAAATAGATGTGGTTCATCTTATGTGACTGAGTTGCATCCAGACATTTCCCTATGTGAATGGAAGGATTCCTTCTTGTACAAATGGTACTCTAATCCAGTGGATGTTTCCACTCACTGGATGCTCCTGCAGGAGGCAATTTCTGCTGATCTCTTCCTTGCTGCAGTCACTGCATACACTGTTCCGGAGTCCCCCTGCCCCCCGACCCTATGGAGCAGAGGGCTGAAGAAGTAAGAAGGAATTGCTGAAAACTGTCTCCTCCCCTTTCACCCTCGGAAGCCCCCAATTAGTGAGACTCTTCTTCAGGCAAGCCTGGATTCAACCCATGCTGTTTGGTTAATCAGAGATAACTCTGGACTTATAGTGAACTTTCCCCATTAAAATTATAAGAACCAGATAAGGATCTCTATTCTAAGAGCAACACTGATGCTAATCCAGTTATGCCTTTGGTGAGGTTTCTAATTAAGCCAAGTGAGAAAGCAACATTATTGAGTTTGTCTGCTTCCTTAACTGGAGGCGTAACTTTAAGGTTGGAAAATTGTGATGAGGAAAAGGTAGGTGGGAGGAACAGCATTAGAGTTTTTGAAACTGTAATTTTC